GTCATAATCCTTGACCCAGTTATTTCACTCCTGGGAGTGAATCTCAAAGAACTAATTTAAGGGGGAAAAAAGAGATTAAAACTATGGACAAAGTTTTGAAACAATTTTACTTACAAAGCAAATAACAAGAAACAACCCAAAAAGTCACCCAAAGGGTAATGGTAAAATCTGTGTTGTATCAGCATGATAGAATAGTCTGCCCCGGTTAAGATTTGTTGTTGCTGTTCAGTTGCTTAGTCGTGTCCGATGCTTTGCAACCTCACGGACTGCCGCACAGGCTTCCCTGTCCTTCACTATCTCCTGGAGATTACTCAAACTTATTTTCACTGAGCTGATGATGCCGTCCAGCCATATCATCCTTTGTCACCCCCTTCTCCTGTCCTCAATCTTTCCTAGCCTCAGGTTAAGGTGAGTGACATTAATTACAAATGTATTGTTCAGTTGCTAAGACGTGTCCGGCTTTTTGTGACCCCATAAACTGCAGCACACCAGGCTTCCCCCTCCTTCATTGTTTCTCTGAGTTTGCTCAAACTCATGTCCACTGTGTCAGTGATACCATCAACCATCTCATCCTCTGTCGCCCCCCTTCTCTTGCCCTCGATCTTTCCCAAATGCGTAGCATAGTGAAGTGTTTATGAAGTAATATTTGATGAAAAAAGCGATCACAGAATTGTATATCTGTTTTGATAACTTTATAAACAATCGACACATGTTGCCTGTACTTTTGGAGATTAGAAAGGACTTCTTAAGATTTACCTTTAGGCACTTTAATTAATTAATTAAAGTGGAAACAAATTTATTTAAAGAGCTACACATTCCATAGGGAGAATGAAGTTCGTTTCAGAAAGTGAGAGCGGCCTACTTTCAGGTGTTTTAAAGTAGGTTGAATACCAAACGAAATTTATGTTTACATTAGGTGTCGAGCATGTATGCAGAAACCTTGCCTCTCAAGTGCTTGGTACTCAGTCACCTACCGTGACTGCCAAGCCCTGACAACAGCACTCCACCCTCCTCTCTGGGGCCAGGTCACCTACCTTCTGTGCCAGGCACTGAGTCCGCCACACTGTCTGTGATCCGTCACAGACAGAAGTGTCTTAGGTGCACCTTAGACCAGGGCAGCACAGTGTTTGGCACGTAGTGAGCATTTAAGAAATGTTTGTTGAATTATACATACACGTGTTCATATGTGTGTGTATAAACATATACAGTATTTGAATTTTTTTCTCCCATCTTGGTCAGTGTCTTCATTAGCGGAAAAAAGGAGAGGACAGGGATTATCCTCATTGCCAGCAATGATTCAGGGCAGCAAACACTTTGCTTTTGTTTTTGCTTTTATGTCTTCAAGGCCTCTTCCATATGCTAATCAAGTGTTCTAGCGACCAAACATCTTCCCTTTAACAGTATGTGTGGCATCACCCTGAGAAAACCAGCCTTATCTGGACACGACATTAGCACCCATCAGGTAAGTAGAGGACAGCCGCAGACCATATGTAATCATGTGCCAAAATGCACACAGAAAGGCACCTGTCTGCTACTATGATCATATTAAAAATCACACACGACTTGGGGATTCCCTGGTGGTCCTGGGTTAGGGCTCGATGCTTTCACTGCACTGGTCTGGGTTCAATCTCCAGTCAGGGAACTATGGCCCACATGCTGTGAGGTGCAGTGGAAAAAAATTACAAAAGAGTTATTTACAAAACAGAAATAGACTCAAGACAAAGAAAACAAACTTATGGGTACCAAAGGGAAAAGGGGGTGGGTGAGGGATAAATAAGGATTTTGAGATTAAAAGATACACACTACTATATAGAAAATGGATACCAAACAAGATGTATTATACAGCACAGGGAACTATAGTCAATATCTTGTAATAACCTATAATGGAAAAGAATCTGAGAAAGAATTATATATATATATATATATATATATACATATATATATATATACTGAAAAAGAATATATATAATGGAATCATCTAAATTTGTTAACATTGTAAACAACATTGTAAATCAACTATGTAAAAAAAAATGTAAAAATCAACTATAATTCAATTAGGAAAAAACCACACAGAAATAACTTAAAAAACTTCCCTGTTAATATATAATATGCTCTTATTTCTAAGGAATTTTAAGGGCCTCGAGTCTCAATCCAAGTGATTATGGTGAGATGGAAAGAACATTAACTGATAATTAGGAAATTTATATTCTAAATTTGGCTCCTCTACATGTAGGATTTTGAACAAGTCCCTTCTTCTCTCTGGGCCTATAAAATTATAGGGTTGAACTGGATGATCTCACAGGTCCCTTCTGGCTATTAACATCTGGTTCATGAAGTCTGGGAGTTCTGACACCCTAAAACTCTGCTGGAACCCCGGTGTGCTTCTGTCGCTGCGTCTGGTGTGAAGAGCCCAGGACCCTGTCGGGGCAGTCGGTGAGCTCACTTTGCTGCGTCTCAGCCCAGTTCCCACTCCTTCTAGAAGGTTGAGTAACTGCTTGGTGATCTCCCCAGGGGAAGCCTAACAGCCCCAGAGGGCCAGAGCGGGTAGTCTAGGGCTGATGGCTGCAGCAGATTGTACCAGAGGAATCGACAATCTACCCTCTGTTTTCCCATGAGATTTGTGGATCCTTTTGTGAATAGTCCATGGCTTGCAAATGGGATTTCTATCTTGCAACTCTCTTCCTCCCCTAAGAAGACTCCAAGGTGCTCATCACCCCTTCGCTTCAAACTGCGCTCCTGGCGGGCTTTACTCATTCCGCCTCGTCGGGAACTCTAAGCCCTTCTGATCGCGAACCTTGATTCTGGCCACCAGAGGGCACTCCTGCAATGTGGACATCAATAGTTCTCTTGCCGTTGGTGGAGCCAGGGTCCCATCTTAGGACATCTGGACTTGCACAAACCATTCTTAAGTGATTCTCAAGTGGGTGCGGTTTCTTCCCCTGGGGGGACATTTCATCAGGTCTAGAAGAGGAGAGATGGGGAGAGTGCTACTGGTACCTAGAGGCCAGGAATGCATAGGGTAGCTCCTTACCAACAGAGAATTTTGCAGCCCCAAATGTCAATAGTGTTGAGGTTGAGAACCTCTGCTCAACTTGAATCTGTTGTCTAAACGGCAGAGTGCACCGCCTGGAAATTTATGTCCTCTGAAGCTGAGCTTTCAGTCTCCTGGGTTCACCTCCTCCAAAAACAAACTTTAGAAAAGTGACCACAAAGCATTTTTTATTGTCTGAAACGTGGGGATCATAGCAACAAACCATTGAAGAGGAGGCGGGGTCAGGCAGAAGGCACACGGGGGTCCCTGTTTATGGGACCCTGTCCTTGAGACTGGCCTCTCTGAAGAGGACACTAGCCCTATGACAGTGAGATCCATTTCCTTGTGTCGAAGCAGACAACATTAGCTCTTTGTTTCCCTAAACTGGGCAGGATGATGGGAAAGCCCCAGGCTGGGGGTTCATTCTTCCCATAGGACTGGGGATGGGCCTGTGACTTTGGGAGCGAATGAAAAGCAGTTTTCACTGTAGCTCCTAGGATCTCCTGGGAGAGACAGTCTGAGGTCCCCCTTTTTGGCATCTGGGGTAAGGGAGAGAAACTGAGATGAAGACCACTCACAGATGCTTTCTCCCAGCCTCTCTCCAGCTTGGAAGCCTGGGGGCTGGTTCCTTGATCATCTTAACCTTTCTGTGGGATGAGGGCTTAGCCCCACCTTTCTCTGGGTCTCTTCTTCCCCATTCCATCCATGAGGACATGCATCTGCCACAAATAAGGCCTGAGCGACAGTGAAAAGCAGAATGAACAGGGAGTTCCGAGAGAAGGATGCGCCCCTACTCTTTGGATGAGAGGCAGGGACAAACAAAGGACAAAAGGCACCCTCTGAGCCTCCTTGGTTTCTGCTCTCCATCGTGGGGAGGAAGTAGAGATAAATCCTAAACCTGTAATTGGCAGCCTAGAGATAGCAGAGCAATATGGTTCTGTTGCCTTGGCTCCTGGAACGTTCTTCTTTTCTGATAGCTTTTCCTTGGTTGAACAAAAGACCCCTCTCTCCTCCTCCCCCAGCCACCTGATGCTTCAGTGGGGACCCCTGCCAACACCCTACTTCATCCCCTTAGAACTCTGCTTAGAAGTCCACGGCAGGGGCCTGGGGTCACTCTGTGAAGACCTCTGCTCTGCTCTGAAGTTCCTTCCTTGAGGCTGGTTTCCCACTGGCCTAGGGAGTGACTCGGGCTGCAGTCTCAGCCTTTCTCTCTGGGACATGATGGTGGCAGAGGGAGGAGACGGGCTGGATCGATTTCTACTAGGCCTCAGGACCCCTCCCAGACCCCCTCCTCCCACCTCTTCCCATCAGAAATCCTGGGTGGCCTTTAGTTCCACACCAGATCAGAGGGGAGCAGGGGGTGGTCAGCCAGGAGGGTGGTTTGCCAAGGGCATTTTATTTGTGGTTTGCCGTGGAGTGTTACGGAGCTGAGGAGGCCCGTCCCTCCTGATCCCACCAGTTAGGTCTTGGAGAAAGAAGGGGACAGGAGCTCCCAGGGTCACAGAAAGCAGAGGGGTGGGAGAGAGGCGCATGGAGGCACAGGAGAGAGACGGGAGACCTTAGCCTGGGTGAGGGACAAGTGCCTACAGAAGAAAGCAATTGCCCTGAGACCTGGGGAATAAAACAAGCCTCCTGACCCCTCCTCAACTTAGACTCTTAATTTCCCCTCTTGTGCGGGCAGGTATGGGGTTTTTCAAATGATGGAAACCTCTTTCTCATCTCCCTCAGACAAGAAAAAAATTGAGATTAAGAATGTCTCCTTAATGTGGTTAGCTGTTTGGTGAGGGGGCACTCTGCCTTGGGTTTCCCAGCCTCACATATACACCTTCCCTGCGATGCCCCGGTCCCCGTGGGTCCAACTCAGATCATCCTGCTTCCAGCCAGGGGAAGGTGCAAAGCCAGAAGGGAGGTAGACAAGAGGACAGGTGGAGTTTGGGGGGCTCCCTGCAACTTCACATCTTCCTCCCCCTTAAGGAGGGTCCAGGGGCCACACTGCTTTGAAGCTCTGCAGACTGGGGGATGCGGGGCTTTCTTCTCCATTGCTGGTTCCCTGCCTCTCTGAGGAGAAGCCCTCCCTGGGAGCCGACGAAGTCTCGGGCTTTACCTCCAGCGCCTCGGGCCTCAGGGACCAGAGTCGGAGCCTCTCCTCAGCCCCCTGCGCCAGTCTGGCCAACAGTGGGAGCTCTGGAAAATGCTGCGCTGCTGGGGCACAGATGGGTCCTGGGAGCAGGGTGCCTGGCGTGGAGGACCCTGGGAAGTGCTGCTCTGGGGCGACAGGGGGCAAGAAGGGAGCTGAGAGGCGGGGCCAGTTGGACGGGACTGGGAATGGTAGGGGAGGGGTGAAGGAGGCAAAACTGGGAGGGTCGTTTAGGGGGCTCCCCAGATGGCAGCAAGAGCCAAGCTGGCAGGAGAGCGGGGCAGAGCCAAGTCCTAGAGAGAGAGAGAGAGAAAGAAGGGGAGAGGGAGAGAGAGAGAAGGAGTCAGTGAGTGTCCACCTTTGGAGATGCCCCCTTTTACCGCCCACTTCCTATTTCTTTTTGCTTCTGCTTGAAACTTTCTCTCCCCACCCGGGCACTTTCTTTTTTTCTATGATTCACATCTCATCATAAATGTCATTTCTTTGGGGAAGCCTCCGTGCCTCCCCAGCCTGGGTGAAAGCCCCTGGACAACCCTCTCGCCCTCCTTCCTGGTCCTCTCCTCCAGGGCCTGTTGTTCAGAATCAGGAGTCATTTGTGACATTGTTTAATATCTGTGTCCCCGACACTGTGGGAGCAGGAACTGTGTCTGTTTTATTTTGGATCCTGGGATCCAGCCCAGCCTGGCGTGTATTAGTGCTCAAAAAAAAAAAAAAATGTATTGGCTGAATGAATTGAGGATATTCTTTGCCATAATTCAGTGGATCCATTCTTCTCTCTCCTCATCCCTGTAGAAGACGACTCTAGCTCTATTCTTGTCTGGCAAAGAGCTGGCTGTGTGGCTCTGGGTTTGTCATTAAATCCCCAGGTCTCAGTTTCTTCATCCATGAAACCTCCTCTCCCAGCTACGATCAAGCAGTGTCACGGGTACAAAGGGGCCTGCAGAGCTGTGAGGCCAATATGTGTGGGGTGAGCCCCAGCCTTCCCTTGCTCTGGCTGGCTCTGGCCCGTAGCTCTCTTCCCCCAAGAAGCTCTCCCTCCTTCCATTCTTTCCAAATCTACCCTATTTCCCCAGGATCCTACAATAGGGGTTCCTAGCCTGGGATCTCTGGGAATGATTATATAGAATTTCACACCACTTCCTATAGTTCAAAAAACCTAACTCCAGAGCTTCCCTGGTGGCTCAGTGGTGAAGAATGTGCCTGCCAATGCAGGAGACATGAATTCAATCCCTGGTCTGGGACGATCCCATATGCAGCGGAGCAACTAAGCCTGTGTGTGAGCACTCACACATGTGTGTGCATGTATGCACACTCAGTCATGTCCAATTCTCCAGACCCCATAGACTGGAACCCTCCAGGCGCCTCTGTCCATGGAATTTTCCAGGCAAGAATACTAGAGTGGGTTGCCATTTCCTACTCCAGGGGATCTTCCCGATCCAGGGGTTGAACCTGGGTCTCTTGTGTCGGCAGGTGAATTCTTTACCACTGAGCCACCTGGAAAGCCCAACTAAGACCATGCATACGCCACGCTATTGAGCCTGTTCTTTAGAGCCCGGGAATTGGGGCTACTAAGTCCATGTGCCACAGCTACTGAAGCCCGCGTGCCCTAGAGCTTGCGCTTGGCAACAAGAGAAACCACCACAATAAGAAGCCTGTGCACCACAGCTAAAGAGTAGCCCCCACTCACCACAACTAGAGAAAAGTCTGCACAGCAGTGAAGACCCAGCACAGCCAAAGAAATCGAACTATTGGAAACAACTAACCAAACAAACAAACAAACAAAATCTAAGTCCAGTTCCACATTTTTTCTTAGCGAGGTCAAGTATGAACTCAAGGTAGTAGTAACACTAGCAGGGCTATAGCTGGTAAAAACTGGAAAAATCATTTCGTTATTACTTAATTCATCCAATTTATTTGGTAAGAACAAATTTTTGACATTGGATCTGTGAAAGGGGAAAACAGATAAGATAATTCTTCATGAGGCAAAGCATGGACACCCCGGCCAGCATGTATATGTTAGTTGCTCAGTTGTGCCTGACTCTTTGCGACCCCTTGGACTGTAGCCCTCTAGGCTCCTCCGTCCATGAAATTCTCCAGGCAAGAATATTGGAGTGGTTTGCCATTTCCTCCTTCAGGGGAGTCGTCCCAACCCAGGGGTTGAACCCGGGTCTCCTGCATTGTAGGAGGATTCTTAACCATCTGAGCCACCAGGTAAGCAAAGGTCATACAAGTATGGAATGCAGCCTACATGGACTGTAGAACGCCAGGCTCCTCTGTCCACGGCATTCTCCAGGCCAGAGTACCAGAGTGGGTAGCCAGTTCCTTCTCCAGGGGATCTTCCCAGCCCAGGGATTGAACCCAGGTCTCCTGCATTGCAGGTGGACTCTTGACCACCTGAGCCATCAGGGAAGCCCAGCATGTACCTTCTCCTGAATCACTGTCCTTTCCTTGGATTCTTAGGTGAAGTGGGGGCTGTTGTTTTCCCCCAGGAAGGCTGGATCCCTTGGGGGTTCTGAAGACAGCGTCTCCCTCAGAGCCCTACAGCTGAGCAGGCAAGTGGAGGAGATGGTTCTAAGAGTCCTCCTCCCCTTCCCCTTCCCTTCCCAGCTCTAACCCTGTGGCTTCCTGCCGCTGGCTCAGTAGTCCTGGCCTCTCTGCTGCCCAGAAGCAGTTCTGAGTGAAGGCGGACTGAGGGGTTGGCACCGCCTTCTGGAATCCCAGTCCAGAAGTGGGCCATGTGGGTGCTGCTGGCCTTTCGGTGACCTAACCTGCTGAGCAGGCCTCAGGGCCCCAGGACAGGTAGGGCCTGTACCCACAGAGGGCAGGAAGGTGCAAAACAACCCCAAGCTGGGGCTCGCCAGGGAACACTTTTTTTCCCCCTGATAGTTTCTCAAAGACAGAAGCTCTGTGCCCAGGGCATTCCCAGAACTAGGAAGGGGTGGGTGAGAGTGGAAGAACAGGGAGGTGTTCAGGTGCTGTCTTGCTCTAGGCTGCCAGACTTGTGGCCCTGCGAGTCCTGGCAGGCCTCGGGCCGCCCCCCGCCCACAGCCTTGTCTGCGCTCGTGAGGGCCTGCGGCCAGGTGCAATGCGTTCTCTGGGAGGTGGGACCTCTGGACTCCCAGCTGCACCGGAGTGGGGCTAAGGCCAAGGGTCTTTGTTCCACAAAATTGCCAGAAGTGGAGGGACATGTCAAGGATCTCTGTGATCTTTTTCACAAAAAAGTCTGATTTTGCTGTTTCCCAGGTTACAGCCCTGGAAGAGGTGGCCCCTGCCTGCATTTTTGCCATGTCCCCCTCACTCGCCCTGTGCTGCCACACTGGTGAGCTCCCAGGGCCTCTTTCCTGCCCCAGGACCTTTGCCCTCCTGGTGCTCTCTGCTGGCCCTCTGCTTTCCTCTCTCCCTCTGAACTAAGCTGGCAGTGGTTTACCTTCTGGGTCTCAGCTCAAATGTCACTTTGTCAAGCAAGTCTTCCTGGCTGCTCTCTGCACCCTGAACTTCTCTGTAGCATTTGGTACAGATACCAATACTTGTCAGTTTGTTGGATTATTAACTGAATATCTGCAGACCCCCTCTTGCCTACAAGCTTTATAAGGGCAATATGCTCACATTGGCACCCCGCCTGGCACATTCAGCAGGAGCTCATGAGCTATGTGTTGAAAGAAGTAAAGAGTGAATGAATGAATGAACTTTATCTTCCCAATTTCTCTTCAATTGGGCCTCCTTCTCCACCATGGCCCTTGCCTTGGTTCTGGCTCCATCACTAGCTACCTAGATCTTCAAAAGCCTCCAGCACCAGTTGTATGTGTCCTACATCCCAAACTCTACACACATCCCAAGTTGTCTTTGTGAAATGAACATCTGGACACGTTTCTCCCTCTAGGTTCCTCTTGCTTTCAGGATTAAGTCCAAGCCCTTCAGCATGGCTTCTGAGGCCCTCTGGGACTAAACACCCATTTCCCTTGACAGCATCATCTTGCCAGCCATGTCTCTCCTCTTCCTCCTCATCCCTGCTCCTGTCACATGCCTCACTCTGACCATGTAAGCTACCAGCAGATCTTCAGATTTGACTACACCCATTTGCAGCTTTTTCCTTTATAAATGCTGTTCCCTCTGCCTGGACATCTTTCTCCATCTTCTTCACCTGCTCAGGCGTAGCCTCCTCCAGGAAGCCTCAACTCCTCTGCATTCCAGTAGCACTGTGTGCTTCCCTGAATCCCAGTACTGGTCACTGACCACCCTCCTGTTTCTTCTCCTCACTGGTCTCTCAGCATCCTGAGGGCTGTCTTTCATATGTGGATCCCCACACCTAGTAAATAGCTGCTGCTGCTGCTAAGTCGCTTCAGTCGTGTCTGACTCTGTGTGACCCCATAGACGGCAGCCCGCCAGGCTCCCCCGTCCATGGGATTTTCCAGGCAAGAGTACTGGAGTGGGTTGCCATTGCCTTCTCCGAGTAAATAGCTGGTGTGCATTAAATGTTTGTTGATTGTATACACGATGCATCCCCTGGCTCATGCCCCCTCTTCCATGTGCTCAATCTGAAGGGTTCTCCCCTCCTCTGTTCAAAGTTCCCTGGGCCCTCTCCAGGTGCAAGCACTCACGGTGGGCGCTGTTGCTGCTTCCCTTCTTGTTCCCAGAGGCCTCTGGTGGCCCTTGAGGGGTCCGCTGTCCCGCCAGCTGCTCCGCCACGGCCCGATGGGTGAACAGCATGCTGTGTAGGAGCTGCGGAGCGAGGAGAGGCAGGCACGGGGGCGGAACGGGCCCTCCTTGGTATGTATTCCACAGTACACATTGTTTAACAACCAGTCATTAAAGTAATGAAATAGTTTCATAATGGTTCTTAAGTCAGCACTGCCCACATGTCCGGCACCCTCTCTGGAGACCCCACCCCCTTCCCTGTGACCCACCATTAAAGGAGTCACGCCTGGTGCAGAAGGAGTTGCCCTCTTTCACAGGCTATATTGTAGGGATTGTTAAAAATGGAGGGGTGATTCAGAGTATCATTTCCGCCCCTGGGACACTCAGGGACTAGGATGCAGGGGGAGAAGAACATTGAAAGCTGATGGGCCCCCAAGGCAGAGAGGAGGGTGGGGGCATTCTGGATGGAGAGGCAGGGCCTGGTGGAGCTCTGGGGATGGGACCGGCTTTTGTGCCTACCTCACTCTGTACACCCATGGGTAGCAGCGCTGGCTGAAATAGAGCAGGGGCCCCCAGCAGCAAGTGGGGGGACGGGGGTGCCCGGATCTCCCACAGAGGGTAGTTAATGACGATGAGCTTGCTGAAGTTGAATTTGTAAGTGAACCTTTTGCCTTTGGTCTTGTGCAGGATCCTCTTATTGTAGTAATATCTGGAGATCCCAAGGATGAGAGCAGGAGGTTGGCAGGGAGGATGCTTTCAAGAGACCCAGCCACATCCCCGCTCCCCAGGTTGGCAAGATTGACCCCTAGCTGTTCTTGGATAACCGCTAGACACCCTGTCACCCTCCAGAGCGTTTCCCAAGCCTCGGAGGGGCGGGAGTTGGACAGGGGTGCTAGAAACCACCGCCTTTTTCTCTGAACTCTGCCCTCTCTGGTCCCGATGGCCTCCTCCTCTCACCTGAGGGCCCGGCTCAGCTTGTCGTAATTCATCTGTGGTTTGCACTTCCTGCGGCCCCAGAGGCGGGCCACCTCGTCTGGATCCTTGATGACGAATTCCCCGTACTCTCCCTGCTGCCAGGCAATGACATGGCGGAACTCCTCCTTCTGCAGCAGCTCCAGGATGAAGTGCCACAGCTGGATCTGCCGGGAGCCCGGGGATGACTCGGCCTTGTAGGCCCAGTCGGGGAAGGCCAGGCCTGGGGTGGAGAGGGGAGTCAGCACCGCCGCACTGCTCCCTGAGGCCTCCTCCGGGGCGCCGCTGGGACCCCTGGCAGAGGCTCACCTGGGATCCAGGCGTTGCCAGCCGCGGAGATGGCAGGGAGGCGCTTGGCCAGGCAGCTGCAGTGCATGGTCCACTCCCAGGGAACGAGGGCTGCATCTGGGTCTTGGGGGGAAACAATCCCCTTAGCAGGAAGGAAGGAAGAAGGCAGAGGAGGAGGAAGTGAAAGAGGAAGGAAAGAGAGAAGAGGGGGGAGACTGGGCAAGGGCAGTGGGGTCTGCGTAGGACACTCCCCCGCGGCCAGGCTGGGCCAAACCTCCCCTGGGGACCTCCTCACTGGCCAGGGGCTGACCCAGGACTCAGGGTTTGAGGCTGAGCCGCTTAAATAGACAGAGAGGAATGCAAAGGGTCCTAGATCTTGCCCCCTAGATTCTCCCCCTGCTGGGGGATTTAGACAGAGAATGAGATCTCTTCTCAGGGCTTAACAGGATTGAGGTTTTTCCCAAGAGAAGACAAGCTAAAATGTAATTAATCGTTGGCTCTTTCTAAATCTTGAAGGGAAGGAGGTGGCAGATTGACAGACCCATACCTTTATAGTGCTTAGAACAATTTTACATTTGAGAAGAGGAGGGATTGTTGTGTGTTTACTCACTGAGACGTCTCAAATGCCTAGCAGAGTACCTGACTTTTCATGGATGTTCAAGAAATGATTCTTGGTAGAATCAGTGAATGGTGATGAATGTGTCAAGGATGTCACTTTGTGTTTAACCTATGTCTTCCCCCTCGGAGTGTCAGCTCCCTGTGGTCAGGAACCCTGGGTGTCTATTTCACTGCTGGCTCCCCAGATCTCAGCCTAACTGAGGGGCTTGTACTCACAGACAAATAAATATTTGTTGAATTAATGAACCAAGGAAGAAGGAATCTTGCTGGTTCCCAATTTAGCTTGGGGTGGGATAGGGGCAGCTGGTGAGACGGGAGAAGACTGGGGAACCAGCCCTAGTGAGATAAACTTGCCTGTTGCAGGTGAGGGGAGGCTTTGTCCCAAAGCCTTCTGGATGGAACTGAGGATGGTGCAAAAGGCTGGCTGGCTTCCACCGTCACGAGTGCAGGAGGAACCAACAGGCCAGAGGACAGAGAGAGATGGGAGGGGGAAGGGTTCGGCAGAATGAGAGGCCTGCTTCAGGCTGGGCCAGATGCATGGGGTTACCTGACTGTTTCGGGCAACTCGCCCACCAGCAGGGGACTGGCTCACACCACCTGGGCTCTGAGTTTCCATCTTCACAGCAGTTAGCACGAGGCAAGCGCTGTTCTCAACTAGAACTTCCTAGGCCGTCAGGTCTGGGGGCAAGTGAGAGCTTATCTGGAGTAGCCTCTTCACTTGCCAGATGAGGCTCAGAGAGGGAAAGTGACTTGCTACACCATGTGCGGCTGCTCCCCACCGCCCCACTCCTATTCCACAGCACGTTCTCCTACACTCTGCTGCCTTAAGACCTAAATCATCTGTAGAAGCTTCTCAAACTCTAATGTGCAGAAGAATCGCCTGGGGATCTCTTTAAAATGCAGATTCGAATTCAATGGGACTTGGTGGAATTTGAAATTCTGCATTTCTAACAAGCTCCTAGGTGACCCCAATGCTCCTGGTCTGTGGGATGTACTGTGAGTAGCAAGAACCTATGGAAAACAGCATCAAGGGGCTGTGGGTGTTAAAAAGTTGAGGAATCCCAACAACAAGGTCGTAATGTAGAGCACAGGGAGCTATTCAACACCCTGTGATAAACCATAGTGAAAAAGAATATGAAAAGGGATGTGTGTCTATGAATAACGGAACCACTTTGTAGTATAGCAGAAATGAACACAACATTGTTAACCAACTATGGTGGTGGTGGTTTAGCTGCTAATTCGTGTCCAACTCTTGTGATCCCAGGGACTGTAGCCGCCAGGTTCTCCTCTTTGTCCATGAGATTCTCCAGTCAAGAATAGTGGAGCAGGTTGCCATTTCCTTCTCTAGGGGATCTTTCTGACCCAGGGATGGAAACCCACCTGCATTGTAGGTGGTCTCCTGCATTGCAGGCAGATTCTTTACCGACTGAGCCACCAGGGAAGCCAACTATAGTTCAATGAAATAAAATAACATAAAGAAGTCAAGGAGTTCCATCCCTGCCCTCTCTACCCCCACACCCAGAAGTCACTGGGTCTCTTGCTCTCCTTGTCCCAGGGAACACTCTGCTCCAGGGTAGGCCAGCTGACAAACCTACAGCCTGTTGATGACAAGTGTGTTCAGGGGTCACCAGTCCAGCCTGAGCAGAGAGCATCTGTAGAAATTAAGGCAGACAGGTCCATGCCCTGTGAGTAGGTCCATGCCCACTCTGAATCTGGGTGAATAGGTTTTCCCACCTGTCCATCTGTCTCTAAACTGAAAGCTGATATTCTAGGATCTTCTCTCCTTCCCCTCCCCTGAAGCAGATACCCCTACTCCTCTCCCACCCTCTTTTCCTGCTCTATCTATTGGGAGTCAGATGCAAGCATGCTAAGTCGCTTTAGTCGTGTCCAACTCTTTGTAACTCTATAGTTGTAGCCTTCTAGGCTTCTTTGTCCATGGGATTCTCTAGGCAAGAATACTGGAGTGGGTTGCTGTTTCCTTCTCCAGGGGATCTTCCCAACCCAGGGGTGGAACCCCTTGTCTCTTAGGTCTCCTGCATTGGCAGGAGGGTTCTTTACCACTAGCGCCACCTGGGAAGCAACTCATTGGGAAGTTCCTCCTTTGTCTAACCTCCAGCTGCTTGGGGATCTCTCCTACCTCACCTCAGGAGAACGGATGGGGAAATAGGGGGGTGCAGAGGTGACAGATGCCGAAGGAGGAGTGTTCCTTGGAGGAAGTAGATATAATGCCTAGGGCTGCCGTGCCTGCTGGATCTGGCAAAGTTTCCTGATCTGGAGGGTTTGAGATCTCAGGTTTAGGATCTGGCAAGAAGGGAACAATAAACCCACTGCAGAGCCGACACTCAGGGCGCCCTGCACTGTGCGGAGGAATTGACACATCTTGAACCTCACAGCAAGTATCAGCTGAGACGGAACTCAGAGGTGCTGAGCGACTTCTCTAGGGTCGCACACACAGCTCTTAAGTGAAAGAGTGGAAAGCAATACCTTAATTCAGCATTTATGATATTCAGCCACCTAGGTAGGCTACCCACACCCTCTCTCCTGCTCCTTCAAAGAAAAAATTAAAAATACTAAGTCAAAGTAGGTCAAACTCTGGGTTTCCTAAATGCCTCAGCCTCCTCCTTGGTTCTCCCAAGTTTGTGAGAGTCCTTCCTGGACCCTCACATGTCTGAGGAGCTTGCTGGATCTGGGTGTGGAATCCTCACTGCTGGTAAGTCCTGCCAAATGTCTGTCCTCTAGTCCATGCTCTTCTGCTGGAGTCCCTGAGCTGGCCATGGGGAACCCTCAGAGAGGAGTGGGTTTTATTCTACCTTCACATCCAAGAATTGCTCTGACTGTTTAACTTAATTCCTCATACTTAAAAAAAAATGTTTTAATTGGAGGATAATTGCTTTCCTTATTGTGCTGGTTTCTGCTATATATCAGCATGAATCAGCCACAGATATACCCATATCTCCTCCCTCCAGAACCTCCCTCCCATCTTCCTCCTCCTTCCACCCCTCTGGGTGGTCAAGAGCATGGGGCTGAGCTCCCTGTGTCACACAGAAATGCCCACTAGCTATCCATTTGATACATGGTGATGTATATTTTACATTTTACACATGCTATTCTCTCAATTCACCCCACCCTCTCCTTCTTCCACTGTGTCCACAAGTCTGTTTTCTATGTCTGCGTCTCCATTGCTGCCCTGCAGATAGTTTCATCAGTACCATCTTTCTAGATTCCATACACATGCGTTAATATACCACATTTCTCTTTTTGACTTATTTCACTGTTTAATAGGCTTTAGGTGCATCCAGCTCATTAGGACTGATTTTAACCCACATTCTGGTGGCAATGCTCCCCAAGGCTGGGGGGAGGTGTTCCTACTCTGTCTATTCCCCCCAGCTCCCTCCTTCTTGTCCTGTGGGCTGGGGATTGAGGCAGGGGCAGCTCTAACAGGCCTTGCACAGCCCCTCCCACCCCTACTACAGGATCAGTGCAATGGCCTGAGAGGATGAGTATTGAGAACCATAAATCACAAAGGATCATAACCCAATCTTGAATGATCAGAGAGCCTGCTCTTAAGGGCTTTGTATTTCCTGATGGGTTATAGTAGCAAGCAATTATTATTGTTGTCATTACCATTATTCTGATTATTAATAATATGATTAATCCCCTTGACCAAAGGCAAGGGCCCATTGCAACACATGTAGGTTTTAGGTCATTATTTAAGAAAAGCAACAGAGATAACAATGATAAAATAGAGAGTAAGTCTC